CAATTAAGTTCCCTGAAATCAATATAAAGTGCAAATATCACTTAAATATTTTAAATTCATGGACATTAGTATTCTATCTGCCTGAATAAATTCATCTCCAGAGATGACTGTGTTCAGGATCACAAGGGATACCGATGTTGGCTCGATTGAACCCCTGTGTGAAGGTGGTTCTGAGAGCATGGAGTCAACTTGCAAAACAATATGGAAAGTCTGTTTGCTCTTGTGCAGGAAAGTGAGGGCCAACGTACCGAATTTGTCCATCTTCTTTGTCTGCAGGATATAGCAATAAAAGTACTTGCTAACACAACCCAAGGTTGTTTTTAAGAGAGAACCAATATCAAAGGCACTCTTCAGAAACAAAGATTTGGACTATCAGAATCTCGATTTCTGCATTATTGGCAGAAAGAACCAAGGGTCTACAGGTTTCTTTATGATGCCAAGTCAGTATAGATCCTTGACACTCTTGGTTTGAGTGACTCCAGGGACCTGCCAGGGGGAGAAATTATTAGACATGGTTCTGAGATGGTTATCTTTAAATACCTCAGACCCAGGAAGGCAATGATTTGATCTGCCCAGCCTTCTTGAGTGTGTTCTATACTACCTAGAGTTGGGATTCTCAAACTCAGGTTATGTGGTTGTGCACTAAGTGGTATGCACAAAGCCATAGAAAACAAACAACCCATCCTTTTGAAGTTTCCATTGAACTGAAAATTTCACAGACTCACATTAAAACAAAATAAAAAGCACTGAAACCAGCAATGACAAATGAAAGAGTGGAGTGCAACATACGTTTTTCGCAGTATTGTTCACAGTAGCAATAACATGGAACCAACCTTGCTGCCCATCGAAAGAGGACTGGATTAAAAAAAAATGTGTTACATATACAGAATGGAATATTACGCAGCCATAAGGAAGGACAAAATCATGAACTTCACAGCAGCCTGGATGGGCTTAGAGTCTGTCATACTGAGTGATCTTTCACAGAAACAAAGAACTGAGTATCACATGTTCTCACTCATAAGCAGACCTTCCATTCCATTCTTATAGTATTATCATAAGACTATAAGAAAAAGAATGGATTGGCCGTAGCGGGAAACTGCCGAGGATTGGGGGAAGCGGGATTGGCAATAGTGGGAAATTGCCAGAGAGGGAGCGGGATTGACTGTAGTGAGATTCTGCCAGGGGAGGAGGTGCACACCTCCTCAACAAGGATACCTGCATCATGAACATTTGCCTACCTAACCCTGAATGATACCCCACATCTTTACAATTAAAAGTTAAAAAAAAAGAAAGGGTGGAGTGCAAATTTCTGACCAATTTTTAAGTTCAACTTGAGACTTTGAAATAATATCAGGTTAGGGATATGCCTCCTGGTCCCTTGGAATACAAATGCATTGGCCAGTAAGAGACTATTTCAGTGGGAAGATTTTGGTAGTACTGTGATATTCACTCAATTACCTAAGGAGATCGGAAACCAGATTATTTGAATAGGAACTACATTCCTGTGCTTCCTGTGAGACTCTGGAATGGACCTGTGTATAATATTTTGAGACCAAGGAAGCTACTGTCCCATTTTTGAAATCTTGACTTTCTGGAGAAAATTAGCAAGTGACACAGAGTTTGCTGAGAGATCCAGGCTGACTTTGGAGATATCAATGAATTTTTAATAAATGTTCTCTATAGAGAAAAATCTATGGCTTTGGGCTCTTTTGGAGACTGCAATAGGTAAAAATATTTTTCCGCGATTTACTCATTTCTCCTGCTGGTAGAGAGCAAGTCACCTTTTTTTTTTTTTTACAGAGTGCATGGTATGGTATTATAAGTTCCATAGATGGGATTTCAGTCCCTAGCACTGGATCTTAAAAATGAAACAAAAGTTCTCCCAGCCTGGGCTCCCATCTGGGAAGTGGGCCAGTACAATAATCAAAGGAGTTAGCAGTGAATCGACATTTACACTTTCCTGTATTTTTTATTTTTGTCTTCTACACTTTTCCATTCCGACCCCCATTCTCCTTGAGTTTGAGAAGTTGACAGTGAACAGCACATTTTCACTTGAATGGGAAAGTGGAGGTCAGACCCCATCACCTGGGTCTTTCAGACCATGAGTCTCTCTGACCATCCCGTGAAAACATTTTGCTAAGAAAGCCTGTAGAGAAATAATCAACTGCCTAGTATGTAAGTGCATTTAAGTCTTACTGTTGACTGTCACTTTCAAACTGGATATGCACAAAACAATGACCTAGAAACAAGCAGAGAAAAGCTGTGTGGCATTTAGATGCATATCACATAAGCATAATTGGATCCTTAAAAGGTTAAATGCCCTCAGCATATGTATGGAGAGTGATACGGGCCATGATGAGTTTGGAATGATTATGGCAGTGGCTTTGTTTTTCATAATTCTAAAGTAAATGTCATGTTTCCTCTTTGGGGATTCCAGGACTGGTTTTCAGCAAAGCATATGTTTTCAAGCAGATAGTGACTCTTTCTCCAGCAGAAGGAGGACCATTCATGTAGCTGGAACCTGAAGCCTTCTAAAGCACAGGTTGCCACTCAACTCTCTGGAATTGAAGCCAAATTACATATCGAGGACAAGTGCTAAACATAAACAAAGAAGGCCACATATATGGCTTTATTTTTTTTGCTTCCCCTCCCCATATATTTGAGGGAAGAATTAACTACCTCAAAAACTCCATCATCGTTCATGAAAACACACAGATCAGGTAACTTTGAGAATCCTTCAGCATCTTGTTTTCAGAAGCTTATTGTATCTCCGAGGGACTGGTCTTTTTTTTTTTTTTTTAATGTTCATAAACAAATACAGAGATGCTAGGGAAATTAGTAAAAAAGCAAGTTACTAAGAAATATGCTGAAGGAGACATCATTACATATGCCTTAAATATTAAAATGTAAGCAATATGTTCAGTAAGAACACATAAGTTAAGGGGTAAAAACTACATATGTGGGAGTGATTATTACAAAAACTCAAGTTAGGGAATTTCTTTGGGGAAGAAAGGGAACATAGTCTGCTTAGTGCACACAGGGATTTTTGCTGGCTGAATGATCTACAGGTGTTTTACTCATGTTCAATAATATTATTATACAATCTCCTTGTGTGTATATGTTTTCATTTTTTAAAAGTGGAAAGGCAAAATAACAACACAGTGATGAGAATGCACAATTTATGTTGGTAAAAAATGTAGAATAACAATAGAAGTAAATATATTAATCTTAGGTCAAAGGATATATTTTATATTGTACATTAAAATATCTAGATGCACCGGACTCGGTGGCTCAGCCTGTAATCCCGCACCTTTGGGAGGCTGAGGTGAGTCGATGGCCTGAGCCCGCGGGTTCGAGACCCACCTGGGCAGGCGAGACCTCATCTCTACAATAAAATAAAAAAATCAGTCGAGCGCAGTAGTGCGCGCCTGTAATTCCGGCTACTCGGAAGGCGGAGGTGGAAGGATCGCCGGAGCCCAGCAGGTCGAGGCTGCGGTGGCCGGGAGCGGCCACTGCACTCCAGTCTGGGCGACAGAGTGAGACTCCGACTCAAAAGAAAAAAAAAATATCTAGATGTATGGGGGGGGGACCAAAAAAACCCCTGCAATGTATTTATTTTAATAAGATGTGTATTAATTCCTACAAGTTTAAACGCCAGCCACCTTCAAAGTACTTTCTGTTTAATGCAATATACTTTTTCCACTGCTCAGTTTGTGAACTCATCAATTTTGATGCCTTTTAGTGCTTCTACCATTTTTTGTTTCACCACTTCAACATTGCGAAACTTTTCCTTTTAAGGACTTTTTTCATCTGAGGAAACAAACAAACAAAACAATCACTCTGGGTGAGATTGGTTGAATAGGGAGGGCGTGGGGCATGGGCATCATGCCACTTTTGGTCAAAAACTGCTGAACCCAGGGTACATGTGGGCAGGTGTGTTGTCATGGTGGAAAACAAGTCATCTGTCTGCTGCAAGTCAGGTGGTTTTTTTTCCTTGCAAACTGTGACTCAGCCTTCTTAAAACTTACTGATAAACAATTTGGCCGTTTGATCCAGAAGAACAAATTTCAAGTGTGCTACAAGGGGTCCGCTGTCCAAAAAAGACAATTCTGGAGTTTTGTGGGTCCCCCATAGCATGACATTTGCAAGACACAACTAAAATTTAAGTCCTAGAAGGTCTGAAAGTAGAGAGATAGGAAAAGGTAAATCAGAAACATACTAACAAAAGAAAGCTATTGTATCTAGATAAGTAACGAGGACACTGGACCTTAGAATATAATGTGATGGACATTCTGTCTCCAGTCTCTATTCCTCCAGAGGTTACTATATCTGGGCACCTGCTTCTAACATTTCAGGACTTTTGATAAGTCATCTCCACCTATTTTTGTCTTATTTCAAGTTACCCATCTTCAAAGCCCAGAATGTTTAATCCCTCAAATCTGCAGGTTTTTTAGTATTTGTGTACCACTGATGTGTTACTTATATGTTGTGTTTTGGTGTTATTTTTATCCATGGTATCCATGTACTTCTTTAATTAAATGATCATATCCCAGAGATAGGGCCCATGCTTATTCTTCTTTAAACACCCCCTGTCACCTTACCCTGAGACCTGCCATATGGTAGAACCATATCACCTGGCATTGTCATATAATAGAAAGTCAATACACTTGTCAACAGTCGACTGAAAAATGGTTTTTGAAAGCGCTTTAAAAGCTCTTTCAGGATGTTTGAGCACTTTGTCTGTGCTCTGCATTTATGTTTTCTAAGCAATCTTACAGCCAAAATGTTAAAATGGAGGAAGAGAAAGGAACACACTATCCCTAGAGTGACTCAAAGCTGTGCAGAGTTGATGAGACATAGACCACAGCCCCCAATAGGAGGGTGTCCCTGTCCGGAACTCTCTGGAAATTCCAGCAGGGACATGATAATGTTATAAGGGCAGGAACCATGTCTAAAAATGCAAATAAACTTTTTTGCATCTGTACCCGGAACCAAGTCCAATGGATAATGTACAGTCAACGAGTGATTCTGCAAAACGTGAGAAAACGATTAATCTGGGATCACCCCATTCGCTCACAGTGAAATCTGTAATTGAAAGTTTCCCAGTGATCATCTTGAACTCTGGCTTTCAGAGGGAGAGAGAGTCTGGAAGTTGGAAGGGCCAGCTTGGCAGAGGCAGGAAGCAGTTGTCTGCACTGCAGTTGGTGTTCTAGGGTTGGGGGCTGGTTGGAGCCAAGCTCAGTAGAGTGGTTTTGGTTCTGCCACCTGGTGGTGGACTATGTTTGGAAACCACAGAAGTTTAAAAGGAGATGAAGAAGCTGGTGAAATGGGTCATCAGTGCTTGTCCTACTGGTTATGGAGAAATAGCTGGAGGCCTTTTCTCATGGCTTGCAAGGCTGTCTGCTGCTGGCCTTTTTGAAATATACTGTTTTGTTTTTTTGAGTAGGCAGTATATAAAGCATAGGGTATACAATTCAAAAGGAACAGTACATCCCCTACATATGAGCCTTCAAGTTACAAACTTGAACAATGCACACCTGAATTTTTTTAGTGTGTAATTTCTCTCTACCAGGTGTCAGTCTAGCTTGTTAAATACACTCAGGACCCTATAGCCAAAGGTGTTCGTTGGGTACCTAGATTCATTGTGTTGAACTTAAAGCAAATGTACTTATGAACATGCTCTTGGAACTGAACTCATTTGTAGGTTGAGGACTTCCTGGGTAGTGAGAACCAGCTGAAGAGAGAGACAGGACACCGAGGTTACTTTGCCAGGAAGCAGTGTTTATTCGTGCTGCACCGGCTCAGCAGATTCGCATCCAATGACTGAGCCCTGAACACAGTGAGGCATTGCCTTATATACATTTTAGTTTCTTTGTCTCCCACACAAGGCAGCAGTCTGGCATTCTCCATTTGATTGGATTTTTTTGTAGCTGGAGACCAGAGTTAGCATTACTTGTTACACACTGATTGGTTTTACATAATTTTTTCATTTGCATGTCCCGTTGGCTGATTGGCTTACAAGATCACTATCCTGATTGGATTCCACCAAAAGTTTGAATATGTAGCTGCTCAAGTGAAAAACCCGTGAAAAGAGGACCACAAGGAAGCAGGAAGTAACTTATTTTCCCTTTTCTTATTCCTGCATTTTTAGAAGGGCCCCTGCCTCACTTGTATATGGGAAAAATAAGTGTTCCTCTCACCTCTGTCTATAGTTGCTTTCTCAAGAGATTTATTTTGGGGTATACAAAAATGTTTCCTATTTGGTGTGTATGTGTGTGTGTGTGTGTGTGTGTGTGTGTGTGTGTGTGTGTGTATTTTATATATCTTTTTTCAGATAAATAGTTCATACAACCTACTATTTTGAATCTTGCTTTTTATAATTCAACAGTTTATCCTGTAGTTTTTTTCATTTTTACTTGTTTTATCTTTAAATCCCAGTTTCTAATACTGTTGGTATACTGACAGTGTCCAACTTTTTTTCACATGCGGGTGAATGATTAATTTAATAATAGTCTCTAATTTATATGGAACCTAAAAGTCACCCACCAACACATTTCATACCCTATCTTAAACCCCATCTCTGATATGCATCTTTTTTGACCCTATAACCATTGTAGGTACACCTTTTAAAGTAAATCTCAAAGCATCTTGCAGGAACCTTCTCTGAAATTAACTCTCAGTCTCTTTTCCAGGGATTATCTCTAAGCACTTAGTAATAGTCTAATATTTTTTATTGTCCTCTAGGTCTTGTTTGTTAAATAATAACCATAAAAATGTGAATAATACTCTTAGTAATTTTTTTGTTAGTTGGAGTCTCACTCTAGCGTGGTGTGCTCACGGCCACCCCAGCATTGACCTGCCAGGCTCCGGCGATCCTTCTGCCTCAGTAGTCAAAACTACAGGCATGCCCTATCACGCCTGGCTAGTTTTTGATTTATTGTAGAAATGAAGTCTCACCAAGTTGCCCGGGCTGGTCTTGAACCCACGGGTTCATGTAATCCACTTGCTTCGGCTTCCCAAAGTGCTGAGTTTACAGGCTGTGCCACCGAACCCAGCCTAGTAATATTTTTTATTGAGTAACTATTTGTGCCAGGCACTTCACTAAGCACATAGTATGCATTATCTCTTGAATACCTACAACACACCTATCAAAAGCCACATTACTATCCTTATGATGTGTCTGTCACTTGCCCTGTCAGTGCCCTGTCAATATCTCCTTGTCTCACCTCGGCTGGGAGATTTCTGGAAAGTGTGCTTAGCTAAGTGGTCACCCAGAGGGACCTTTAACCAATCAGGTATGGGTGTTGATGGGTAACTATTTCTGCTTTCTCTCTCCTTAGTGGGAAACTCTTGAGTTATGTTTCTCACAGCTATTTCTAGGGTCTTTGTGATCTGCCCGTAGCAGTAAGTCCATTTTAACTTACCCTGAAATACCTTTCCTCCCTTCCCTATCTCAATGCTCTCCTTGCTTTCTTCCTGGAATCCCCCCTAAATAAACTATTTATACTCAAATCCTGGTCCAGGTTCTTCTTTTGGGGAAATCATATCTAAGGAAAATGAGGTTTAGAGCACTTGAATCACTGCTTAAGTTCACCTATATGAGAGGGGGCTCCCCAGAATTCCAGAATTATCTTTTGGAGGGCAGGCCCTTTATAGTACAGGCTTCCCTTGCTAGGTGAGTGTTCTAGAAACCCACCAGCATCAGTGTACCAACTAGCATGTTGTGAGAGGCTGCACTGCAGAAGAAACAACCTGAGTTGTGGCTAACAGGTAACTGATTATTCCGCCATGACAACACATCTGCAAACAAAGCTTTTTTGACCAAAAAATGGCATGACCCCCATGCCTCGCCCTCCCTATTTACCTGTTCCTGCCCCTAGTAACTTGTTTTGTTTCCCTGGGTGAAAAAAAGGCCTCAAAAGGAAAAGTTTTGTCCATATGAAAGAGGTGAAACAAAAAATGGCAGAAACACCAAAAGGCATCCAAATTGACGAGTTCAAAAACTGTTTTGAGCAGTGGGAAAAGCATCTTGATAGGTGTATTGCATCAGACTTTGAAGGTGACTGAAGTTGAAAGGAATAAAAATAAATGCTCACTTTTAAATAAATAAATTCCAGGGTGTTGGGGGTCTCCCCTCATATATGATGTGGCAGATTCAGGATAAGAAACCAGGCGCCATGATCAAAAGGATCACCCCTTAACTGCCAACCAGGTGGCAAATGTCTCAACGCGGGCTGGTGAACACCATGCTTCCTCCACAGTGTGTCTCAAAGAACAAACCAAACAATTATAATACCATAAAAAAGGGATTGGCAGTAGTGGAAAACTGTCAGGGGAGTAGGGGGTGGGACTGGCAGTTGAGGGAAACTGCTAGGGCAGGGAGGGGCATTCCTAACCCTGAATTGCACCCCACATCTTTATAATAAGAAAAAAAGAATGAGCCAAAGTTAGGGCTTCCTACATATTTCTGCTGACCAGTGTCATTGTATGTTCTGGAGTGTCTCTGTCCTATCACAGAACAGCAGGACATGCATTTAGGCAGTTCACTAAACACATGTGCTTATGGTTTAAACCAGGCATGTCCAACCCATGGCCCATGGGCTGCACATAGTCCAGGACAGCTAGGAATGCAGCCCCATACAATCTTTTAACGTCTTGTGTTTTTCAATGTTTATTTTCTTCATGACCCCATGAGTAGTTCTGATTCTGAAGCTCAACAAAACTCGCCTTGTTCATGACATCACTTTTTGGAAGCACGCATATTTGTGAGCAGTTGTTTTCAATAATGAAGCACAGGAAGAGTAAAATTCGAACAAACATTTTTGATGAGCACCTTGAGAGCTCACTAAGAATTGCAGCCACTTCCATCAAACCAGACAGACATGGATAAATTTGTTTTACAAAAACAAGGTCAAATTTCTCACTAATCTTATGTTGTTCTCATTTTTTCTAAACTTTATAATAAAAGATATAAAAAATAAGAGAAGTCTTATTATCTGTATCCCCCAACTACATTATATAATTTATGTGAGGCCCAAGACAACTCCCCTTTACTGGATGCAGTCCAGGGGAAGCCAAAAGGTTTGATACCCTGATTTAAACGGAGACTGAGATGTACAAAAGAGTCTCTCACACTTGTCTCGTTGCTGAGTGTCTTCTCCTTGCTTTTCTACAGATAGCAACTTCATCCTTGCTAATGCCCAGGTGGCTAAGGGTTTCCCCATAGTCTACTGTTCCGATGGCTTCTGTGAGCTTGCTGGATTTGCCCGAACCGAAGTCATGCAAAAGAGTTGCAGCTGCAAGTTCTTGTTTGGGGTTGAAACCAACGAGCAACTGATGCTTCAAATAGAAAAGTCACTGGAGGAGAAAACAGAATTCAAAGGAGAAATTATGTTCTACAAGAAGAATGGTGAGTGGGTTGGCTTTCTTCAGTGCTCATTGGAGGGTTGGGAGAGGTCACTTTCTTTCAACTCAGTAACTGTTCCATGACTCCCATTAAGACTTAATGGTATTCCACATAAATACAGTCTGTTAGAGAAGTTCCATAGATGACTCAGATGATGGCCTTGTTTTTAGCCATTACCAGGCAAAAACTGCCTGGAAATTTAGAATTATAACTCTTCAGTGTCAATGAGTAGTTAGCATATATTAACTGAGTTATTATATGTTAAAATAAAGACTTTTACTATGATATTGTGGTCATTCTTAAGATATATGTTATACCAAGGGTGCCAAAAACATATATATGCATATTAAGAGATGTTCGCCATAATCAGAAATATTTGGTTGCTGATGGTAACCACTTGAGCACCTCTTGAAATTACACAAGTCAAACGTGAGTTGTATTCACCTTTTGTAATCAGTACATATTATTACCATTTTAATACAGTTTTTCCCTTTTTAATGTGCATACATTTCTTAGCATCCTCTGTATATAACAATTACTAATATATTAACAATTTTTATCCAGGAATATTTTCCGAGTTTTATGCCTTAAGGAATTACATCTCAATTCCAGTCATTAAGGACAGAGATCCATGTGTTCCCTGGTTTAAAAAAAAAAAGAAGTTAATTGAAAATATATATGCATTTTTATTTTCCAGTATCTTGGCCATGAGCCATTCTTACTTACTATTCTTTTAAATTCTTTTTTTTAGATTAGAAAATATAGCTTATTTAAAACTAAATTAGAAAGAGAGAGAGAGAGAGAGAGAGAGAGAGAGGAGATTTGCCTCTCCAAGGGGAGGGGGCCAAAACCAGGAAACATGGCCTGGCCATAGCTCAAAGAGCACATGGCCACACCATATCTTTAGCAAGGCAGTGGACACAATGGCCTGGCAAAGGCCTGTTCTTTTAAATTCTAAAGACAGACCAAGAGACTAAATATCTCAGAGTGGAGTAAATTTGCCTGGACTCAAAATTGCCCCTGGGGAAATAGTAGGTGTTTTCTCATGGCTACAGTTTTGTCTCTTCTAAATGAAAGAGGATCTAGAAATGGGTTTGGTGTCTGCAGTCTTAAGCCCTGTGTAGGAGTAGATATCACCGGCATATGGGTCCTGGAAGATGTGATGAACTCAAGTGGGGAGAAGTAGGAGAAATGCCAAATAAGAAATTAGAACAAACCATCATTTCCCAGTATCCAATGTTCTCCTTTTTTTTTTTTTTCATATCTTTCCTTTCAGTAACATACCCCCTGAGTTTTATCTGGATGCTTGGCTACCAAACTAGGGAATACACTTCCCAGCCATCTTTGTAGTAAGATTTGGCTTGTGACTAAATTTTAGGCCATGATATGTGAGAAGATATGATTTATACAATTTCTAGGTAAAAATCTCTAAAAGTGAAATTATTTGCCCTCTGATTTCTCCTCTTCCCCTTTCTCATGGTGTTCTAGACAGAATTGCATCCTGCCAAAATTCATATATTGAAGCCATAACCTCCAGGGTGACTGTATTTTGGAGATAGGTCCTTTAAAGAGGTAATTAAGGTTAAATAAGGCCATAGAGTAGGGACCTAGCCCAGTAAGACTAGAGTCCTCACAAGAAAAGGAAGGGACACCAAGGATGGGCACACACAGAAGAAAGCCCACGTGAGGACACAGCAGGAAGACCATCGTCTGCAAGCCAAGAAGAGAGGCCTCAGAGAAACCAAACCTGCCAATACCTTGACCTTAGACTTCCAACCCTCAGAACCATGAGAAAAATAATGTGTAAACCATGCAGTCTGTGGTATCTTGTTACAGCAGCCTGAGCAGACTAATACACGTGGATTCAAAATGAAGACGAGGCTGAAAAGCAAGCTCCCACTACCGGACAAGGACAGTGCCACAGTGGAAGGCAGAGCCACAAGGTCAATGGGACCGGGGTCCTGCTCTAGGCCCTCCTTCCCACTCCAGACAAAAACAAATGCATTTCCAGCTCATTTGAGTCACCGTATTTTGGGGTGCTTATGTCATACTTCAACTGGACTCTCACTCAGGGTTTCTCAGTCTTGGCACTATTAACCGTTGGCCAGTAGTCCTTTGTTGTGTGAGATCACCCAGTGCATAGTGGGATGTGTAGAAACGTCTCTGGTCTCAGTAGCTCACTCTCATTACTTTGGGGGTATTGAGATCAATGTCAGGAAGAAAACAAAAGAGCTCGCATATGGAAACTTTATCTCCTTCTATAAATGATGTGTCCCTAAAGGACATTCCCTGATCCTGTGGGTTTGTGAGGTACAGTAGTCCTCCTGAAGTTTCAGAGGACACCTCTTGGGGAGAGGATACCTCGATTCTTTGCTGCTGGGAACACAGTTCAGACCATTGTGTCCTTGGCGGTGTCAATAGATAAGTCCTACATAGCAAAAATGATAACACAAAAGAATCCCAGCCCTCTATAATGATACCATAATCATTGAAAAAGGGCCCGAGATAAAAGAAAATGGAGAATGTTGGAAGAATGTGGACTGGCAGGGAGTGATAAAACCGCCATCCGGTAGAACAAAGGGGAACGGAGATCCTTTGTCTGAAATATCTGCTGACTGCAGACACAGTCCTTCTCAAGATAGGCGCCTTGTGTAGGTCACTCCAGATCCATGGAAGTGTCTTCTTTCTTGCACCTCTTCACAGAATCCACTGAGAAGGGTCCAGGCCAGGAAGAAGGATCTAGGTGTGAAGACTAAAAAACAAAAAACAAAAAAACAGAGACTTTGGAGGCCAGAAAGGTAGAGAGTATGGAGCCTAGGCTGGACCCAACACCAAAAGGATGCCCTGAGTCCAGCTTTTTTACAAGATGCCTGCAGTCCTGACATACTTGGGTAGAACTCATTGAAGGCAACAACCCTCTTTAAGCCAGTCACCACTGGGAGTTGTCAGACATTCTGAGCACATGAATTGATCCACAGTTACAGGTAGTTGAAAATCGCCCTCTGCCTTGAGCTAATCATGCTGTATTATAGCTATGTATATGGATATCTGTCTGGGCATGCAATTGTGAGCCTTGGAGGGCAGGGGCTATGAGTTAGTCACTTCCACGTCCCCGTGCCTGGGGCCTGAGGTCCCAAGCAGCATCCATCTGTTGGTGGCTTCTTAGTAAATGCTGCTCAAGGGAATTGAAGTGGATTACCAGAGAGACCTGTGGGAGCTTTACAAGATGTCTGCATTTCTGCTTTTAAAAAATTTGCTTCTGACCACCAGGGTCCTCCGCTCTTCCTCCAAGGGTCGTTTTCTTTTAATATGTTTGAGAGAGTGGACGCTTCTCTCACCCTCCCCAGGGACACGTTGATTTTCTGTGGCTGTAACTGGTCCCCTAATGATGCAATGGCTCTCCTGACCTTGCAGAAAACGTGGCAGGGCAAAGGCTACCCTTGCCCTCCTGCCCAGGCCTTCAATGCCAATAACCTAACCCAAGACTGTGCAGTGGAATATCCTAAGGTCGAGGACATTTGTGAGGTTCATCCTAAAGGAAGACCCACTCAGAACTAGATGGCAATGATGTCTGGTGGCTGTGTCCAAAGACAGTAAAAATAGGAAGTCCTTTACTGGCCTCCCTGCCTGGCAGGACTCCACTTCCAAGCCTTGCTTCCAGTCTTGACATTGGTCCTCCCGTTCCTCTCTACCCCTCCTGGGAGACAACCCCTACCATGCTTCATGGATGTGACACCCGCCCTCTTTAAGAATCGCTTATTCTTCACACCACTGGAGATGTTCTCCCTTGAGCGTCTGACCTCCTCTCCTGACCAGGGAAAAGTATGGGACACAGTTTTCTCTAGCAGGTCATATCCTCAAATGCAGAGCCATCCAGCCCAAAAGGAACCATCCAGGGAGCCGACATCCATCTGACCCCTTGTCTTATCTCTACTCCAGTAGGATGTGAAGTTATAACATGAGGAATGTCAGTATCATCTGGGCAACAAATAGAAAACAGATACATAGAAACATGCATGCACACACATATACACATACACAAAGATACACACTTTGCAAAATAAAGAAGAGTTATCAGAGACCACCGTCTTTTAAAAAGTTAGTAGTAACAAAAGCTAAAATATAGTTGTAACTAACATTTATGTAACACTATGTGCTAGGAACTGTTACACACCCCTGATTTTACTTACATTAACCCATTTGATCCTAGAATAATTCTAATAAAAAAAAGATACTCTTGTTATTGGCATAATATAGACAAGGAAACCAATATAGAGAAAGAGTAAGGCCTTTATAATTAAGCAATTATTAGAAAGACAGTCTCACAGGCAAACATAATACACCAGCTTTCCCATGTTTTCAATGGAGCTAGAAATATTTCACATTTTTATGTTAAAGAGTTAACAGCTCTCATTTCTTGTCCTCTTTCTAGGTAGTCCAGGGTCTACCTGTGTATTAGAAATGAGTACCACTGATATCCCTTTTCTAGAAGCAGTCCCATCCAATTTTGTTGATATACAAAAGGCATTACCCAGAGCCATTTTGGGAAAACAGATATATAACCACTCTAATTACAGGTAGCCATGTTATTGATTTTCTGTTTACTCTCCCCTTATTTTTTAACATAAGCAATGTATACAACTTTGTGACCCCTCTTTTTCTTACACATAATAGTCTTTACACAGTGTGCTGTACCTTGTAAAAACAATATGCATCCTGCAGGAATCCTCTTCCTCAAAGAATACCAGTCATGTTAGATTAGAACTACCCACAAAGCCTCATTTTAAATTAATTATTCTTAAAGGCTCTGTCTCCAAATACTATCACGTTTTGAGGAGACGGAGGTTAGGATTTCAACATAGGAATTTTGGAGGGACCCGATTCAGCCCACAACACCAGCCTTTCTGAACTAATTCACACTGTTCTTTTAGACTTTATATCCTTTTCTTAATTGCTTTTTCTTCATTTTGATATATTTGGTTTGTGTGTGTGTGCACTGCGCA